TTTTTGAGGGTTTGTCAAGATGCTAAAATCACTTGCAGAGGACATTCTCACAGTCTCCCAGTCTTTTTAAAATGCTAAAAAAATAATTGGCATCCCCCCTATGTAGGTCTTAGACAAAAAATGCCCTAAGTGGCCTCCAGTTTATTTATATACCAGCAGCTGCAGTCACGTCATCAAGATGCAATAAAACCATCTCTCAGTTTTGCATGCACCTGTTAAAGGGAAATCTGAAACAAATGATCAGGGGCTGTGGGGTCCTAAGTGACAGTGGGACACTGAAATAGTGGATCTCTGGCAATAGTTATATATTTTCAGGGAAGGTGAGCTGGTGATCTAAGCATCAGTGGTCAAGTGTTTCCTCCCTTCGTCCTGTGTTAGACTGGTCTCCTTATTCATACATGGGTAATCATCAGTTTTGTGGTGTAAAACACAAGAAAATTATGATGGAACAAAGCCTATTTTCCCTTTTTTTTTTTTTAAGCTTTGTACCCTGTTGCAGAAAACCCAGAAGCACATAATGGGCTTTTGACAAGTATCCGTGACTGATGGAGCAGCAAGAACTTTAGACCCTGATTCAGGACAATTGCAACCCACACTTGTGAAAGGTGGTTGTCCCAGTAGAGTATCCGACAGACTCATTTATGATTGTGGTATTCATAATAACCATATCTAATAAAGCAAGCATTGTTTAGTGACCCTAGAAGATACTTAGGTTCCCAGATGTTGAGTGATTTGCTCAAAGTTACAGAGTACAAAACTGATGCAGGATTAGCATCCAGTTGTTAGAGCAACTCTGAAACACCTGGTCTTTCACACATCCCTGAGTTTAAATTCTGACTTTATCATTAATTTTTTGTCTAAAAGTCTCCTTATCTGCACATGGTTTGCTATGGGAATCAAATGCCATAACTTATATCTGACAACAATGAAGCAACAGCAACAAGAACAATCTGAAGGATGTCTAGAATTATATCTGGTATCTAGCAAGTTACCTGCACAGGCTCATTCCCACTACCTCTATAAGTGAGCACATATATATACATAAAGGAAGTTTAAAGGAGCCTGTAAGGTTCCAGGTCTCCTCTGAAGCAGGTATCTCAGCTCAGAGACACCCATCACAGTGAGGGTTAGGCTCTGGGTCTGGGAGCACTCAGTCTGCCCTTTGATATAAGGTCCTCAATGTGAGGTGCTCCCACCTTCCTGACCACCTCCTCTTCCCTCCCCTTGGGAAGCTGAAATGGAGCCTGAGAGTGAGGAGCATTAATGGTCATTTGAAGCCACTCTCATGAGAACAAACGAGAAGTATTTGATTCTGCAATGAGAATTCCATGCTTTCCCAGTTTATTTTTATTTTCAAATGAAGAGAGTTTGATAAATCTTTTGGCAATATGTGACTTTCAGACTTGAAGAACACTCTAAAAAAATATCCCACAGTAGACCCCTTAGGTCCAAACACACATTAAGATGCTGAATCACCTTCATCTTTGCAAAGTAAAATCTATGGCTAAAGTGCCTGAGTTCTCTTTATCAACTGCCAGCAATAAACCACACTTCATTGAAAAGCTAGGCTCCAAGCAGGACCTGAGATATCTTAGCATTTTAAGCATATTTAGAAATTCCTTATTTCCATTGCTTTTACATAAAATACAAAATTATGATAGCATTGATGATGTATAAATGTATTGAGTTCTTGCTATTTGGCAAGCACCATACTATTATAAGACTTGACAAACAATAACATTCTGTGATAGGTAATATTAGTACTCCCATTTTATAAGGAAAATTTTTTTTAAAAGTGCATAGCGGTCACTCATGGCAGCCACTTATATTGCATTTACTATATGCTATCATTGTACTATTTATCATTGCCTCTACCTATCTATGCATATATGTCATATATGTGTATATAGTATCTATGTATTCCTCACAACAACTCTATAAGAATTTTTTTTTTATATTCACATGAGAAAATGGAAGTAAGTAGATAATAAGTCACTTGCTCAGACTCACACAGCAATAAGTGGTGCAGAACAGACTGGGGCCCAAAAGTCCAGTTCAGAGTTTATATTCTTAATCACTGTGCTATAGTGACTATTAAGTGTTCAGAAAATATTTTTTTTGAAAAAAGGATAAATGTAGGGGCAGCCTCAGTGGTTCATGCCTGTAATTCCAGTACTTTGGGAGGCCAAGGCAGGATGATCACTCGAGGCTAGGAGTTCAAGACCTGTCTGTGCAACAGCAAGACCCCCTCTACAAAAAAAAAAAAAAAAAGTAAAAAAAAAAATAATTAGCTGGGTGTTGTGGCTCATGCCTGTCCTCCTTGCTACTCCAGAGCCTAAGGCAAGAGGATTGCTTGAGCCCAGGAGTATGAGGCTGCAGTGAGCCATGATAGCACCACTGCCCTCCAGCCTGGGCAAAAGAGCAAGACCTCTCAAAACAAAATACAAAACAAAACAAAAAAACGAAGAAACGAATGGATGGATATACTTTCCCATGGTGATGATGACGTAGCAAATAAAGAATGGAGCAGAAACTCCTGCTCTGAACCAGTATGCAATTATGCTTCTCACTTTGTTCTAAAATGATTTCAGTTGGCATGGATTTTCCCTTAAAAACCAAAATACTCAGTTTTCTGCATTCATCAGTGATATGGTGAGACATTAGTGGCAAGTTGATCATAGAGCCTCCTAGAGAGTGCAAATGTATTTTACCTGGTGTTCCTTTCAGTAATTGGATAAAATATTCTAAACATATTGCGGAAAAGTTAATTTAGAAATCAGAAATTAGCTAACAAACTCTCCTATGAACAGAAGGAAGAAACCCACTTGGTTTAACATGACCAATTTTAATATTTTAAGTTATCAGAAAGGACAAGAGGGGCTGATAGAAACACAATCTATAGGGATTGCCTGTGATGGGAGATCCAGCGTAGTATGGAACAGCTACGCTTTTATTATTCATACTTTTGAATTTGCGGGTAATGCCCAGTTCCTTAAAATTGGGAAATCTTTGAAAATTTTAATGCTTTTTAAAAACATAGGCTTTATTTTTAGAGCAGTTTTAAGGTCACAGAAAATTGAATAGGAAGTACATAGCTTTTCCATATATCCCCTGCCCCTACACATGAATAGCCTCTTCCATGATTAACATCCCCCATCAGTGCTACATCTATTGTAATACAACTGGTGAGCCAACGTTGACATATCATCACCCAAAGTTAATTCTTTATATTAGCTTTCTTTTTTGTGTTGTACATTTTATGGCTCTGGAAAACTTTAAAACAACATGTATCCACCTTACAGTATCATACGAAATATTTTCACTGCCTTAAATGTCCTCTGTGTTGCACCTATTCATTGATCCCTTAAGCCAACCCTTGACATTCACTGATCCTTTTACTGTCTCCACAGTTTTACTTTTTTCCAAAATGTCACATATTAATAGTTGGAATAATACAGTATGTAGCCTTTTCAGACTGGCTTCTTTAGTAATATGAATCTAAGTTTCATCCATGACTTTTATTTCTTGATAGATCCTTACATTATTTCAGTGAATAACATTTCATTTCATGTACCAGATTTTACGCATTTATTCACTTACTGAAAGACACTTGGTTGCTTCTAAGTTTGACATTGTGAATAAAGTTGCAATGAATATCTATGTGCATGTTTTTTTGTGGAGATGTGTTTTCAGTTCCTTTAGACAAATACCAAAAAGTGTGATTGTTGTATCATATGGCAAGAGAATATCAAGTTTTGTAAGAAATAGCTAATCTGTTTTCCAAGGTGGCTACACCAATTTGCATTTCCACCAGCAGTGAATGGGAGCTCTTGTTGCTCCGTATCTTTGTCAGCATTTGGTGTTTGTGTTCTGGATTTAGCCCACTCTAATAGGTGTACAGTGGATCTCATTTTTGTTCCACTTTGCATCTCCATAATGTCATACAATGTGGAGCATCTTTTTATATGCTTGGTTGCTATCTGTATATATTATTTGGTGAGGTATTTGTTAAGGTATTTGACTCATTTTTAATAGTATTTTGTTTCTTATTCTGTTTTAAGCATTCTTTGTATTAGGTTGGTGCAAAAGTAATTGTAGTTTTTGCCATTACTTTTGCAAAAACCTAACATATTTTGGACAACAGTCTTTTATTAAACATGTCCTTTGCAATTTTTTTCTAACTGTGGTTTGTCTTCACTTTTTGTTCTCTTTGTACCATCATTCACAGATCAGAAAAATTTAATTTTAATGAAGTTCAACTTATCAATTCTTTTTTTATGGCTCACATCATTGGTGATGTATCTTAAAAAGTATAGCCAATCCTATGTCATGTAGATTTATCATATGTTGTCTTCTAGAAGTTTTACAGTTTTGTGTTTTGAACAAACTGCTATAAGGTTAATTGAGAATAAGAAAAATAGGCCAGGTGCAGTGGCTCACACCTGTAATCCCAGCACTTTGGGAGTCTGAACCAGGCAGATCACCTGAGGTCAGGAGTTCGAGGCCAGCTTGGCCACCATGGTGAAACCCTGTTTCTAATAAGAATACAAAAAAAGGCCGGGCGCGGTGGCTCAAGCCTGTAATCCCAGCACTTTGGAAGGCCGAGACGGGCAGATCACGAGGTCAGGAGATCGAGACCATCCTGGCTAACATGGTGAAACCCCGTGTCTACTAAAAAAATTACAAAAAACTAGCCGGGCGTGGTGGCGGGCGCCTGTAGTCCCAGCTACTCAGGAGGCTGAGGCAGGAGAAAGGCGTGAACCCGGGAGGCGGAGCTTGCAGTGAGCTGAGATCTGGCCACTGCACTCCAGCCTGGGCGACAGAGTGAGACTCCATCTCAAAAAAAAAAATACAAAAAAAAAAAACAAAAAAAACAAAAAAAACTATCTAGTCATGGTGGCACATACCTGTAATCCTAGCTGCTCAGGGGACTGAGGCAGGAGAACCGCTTGAACCCGGGAAGCCGAGGTTGCAGTGAGCTGAGATCACACCACTGCACTCCAGCCTGGGTGACAGAGTGAGATTCCATCTTAAAAAACAACAAAAGAAAGAAAGAAAAACAAAAGGTTTTTAAATTTTATTTTCACTTATTTGTTCTCCAATACTGTTTCTGTATGTAGACCCAAGTTTCTGCCCAATATCATTTTCTTTTTCACTAATAAACTTCTAATCTTTCTTTCAAGACTAATTTACCAGCAACAAATCCTCCAAATTTTTATGTCTGGGAAAGTCTTTATTTCTTCTTCACTTTTGAAAGATAATTTCACAGAATACAAATTTTTAGGTTGGTAATTTTTTTCTCTCAACACTGTAAATATTTTATTTTACTCTCTTCTTGTTTGCATAGTTTAATCAGATTTAATTCTTATTTTTGCTTCTCTAAGAGTAAGGCATTGTATCTTATGGCTTCGTTTAGGATTTTCTCTCTTTCTTTGATTTTCTGTAGCTCGAAAATGACATGCACAGGTGTAGGTTTGTGGTATTTATTTTACTTGGTGATTTCTGAGCTTCTTGGATCAATGGTTTGGCATCTGGCATTATTTGGAAAAGTTCTAATTTCTTATTGTTTCAAATATTTCTTGGTTCCTTTCTCTTTTTCTTCTGGTATTCCCATTATAGATATGTCATACTTTTCATAGTTGTCTCACAGTCCTTGGATATTGTTTTTGTTTTATGTTGTTGTTTGTTTGTCTTTTTACTCTTTGCTTTTCAGTTTGGGAGGTTTCTATTGAGTTATCCTAAAGCTCAGAGATTCTTTCCTAAGATAGGTTCAATCTACTAATGATAATCTATGCCCATCAAAGACATTCTTTATTTCTGTTACAATGTTTCTGATATCCAGGATTTTTTGTCTGCTTTTTTGCTTAGAATTTCTCTGTCTCTCCTTACATTGTTCATGTGTTCATTCCTGCTGTCTACTTTATCTAATAGAGCTTTAGCATGTTAATCATAGTTGTTTTAGTACCCAATTTGATATTTGTAACTTGCATACCATATCTGAGTCTGGTTTTAGTGCTTGTTCTTTCTTTCAAACTAAGTGTTTTGCTTGTGGTATGTCTTGTAATTTTTTTCTTCATAGCCAGACATGATGTATTGGGTAAAAGGAACTGACATAAATAAATCTTTAGTATGTGACAGTAAGGTGTGAAGGAGGGAAAGTGTTCTATATTCCTGTGATCAGGCCTTAGTCTTTTAGTAAGCCTATACATTGGATTGTGAATTTCACAAGTGATTCTCAATATCCTCCCTGCCCCGGTGGGACAAGATGACTAGAGCGGTCTGGAGCTCAGTATTTTCCTTACTCCCCATAGAAGGCTAGAGCAGCTGGAGTGAGATATTTCCCTTTCTCCAGGTAAATTAAGCTCTGAGAAAACCCCAGCAGGTTAGATTCTGCTTAAATAGTTTCTCCTGAGGACAGATTTTGTTAAGAAGAACAGAATGTTCTGGTGTATTTCAGGACGCTTATTTTCCCCTCCTCCTGCCGGAAGCAAGACGAGATTTTTCTTTGATAATCACTGCAAGGATCTGGTAGAGCTCCTGGAGGTAAAACTCACAGAAACTCACAAAACTGGGTTCCCCTGGAGTTTTTAAAGCTAAGTTGTCTACACTAAGCCTCAAGCAATTGAACTGTCTACACTAAGCCTCAAGCAACTGTCAAGTACAACACAGGTTTTCCTACTCCAGCACTGTCTCCTACAGAAGTTGCTGTTCATGGGTTTCTACTTCAGAAAATTGTGATTCTCTGTATTTACCATTGTGTTTCTCCAATTCAGTGGGGAGCAGTTTGCCCTGGGACCTTACTTCTCATATAGCTCTAGGAAGAATTGCTGATTTTTTAGTTTTTTCATGTTTACTTGTTGTAGGATGGAGTGGCAACTATCAAGAATCTACCAGAACCAGAAACTGAATGCCCTTTCCCCCTCTAGATCCTCAATATCTCCTAGATACTGGAAGAGTAGATGATTCTGGTCAAGTGAATTCAAGTTTTAAAATCTAAATTTAAATTTATATAGATATGCTCAGCTGGCTCTTTTTTTAAAAAAATAATTACTATTTGTATGATTATCAGTTAGAAAATAGAGAAATGCAATAAGATGAAATTTAAAAACCAATATTTAATTAATATATGGATGTATATTCTAACCAGTGTTAATTATTTCTTTATGTCTGTATTTTATGAAGTAAAGATCATACCTTCATATTGATTTATGTATAGTCATAATTTATAATGTAATATATTTTTCAAAACAATTTCAATGAAAGCAGAATATTTTATCAGGTAGGTAACCATACTATATTGAGTTAATCCCCAATTAAACATTTAGGTTTCCTGTTATAAACAATACTATGGGGAGCATTTCTGAGCACTGTCTGCATCTGTGAAAGGATCTTCAGATCAACTGTTTCTCAATAATTTAATGAGGGATTGATATCTTAAGAAGAAGCTTATGAACACTATTTTTGCAAAGTATATCGAAATAAAAAAAAACTAGAGTGCTACGTGCTGTTTATTTCATAAGCAAAGGCATCAGTCAGTTCTAAATTCAATACATGGTTATCAAATAATAGTAGTCTAAATTTTATCTTTATTGCAGCAGTTGGAAAAAAATCTTATTACTCAGATTATTCTAGTTTCAGTTTAATGCATTGAAATGATAATTTCATGATAATGTTTATATATATTATTAATGAACCCATGTAAAAAATAGAGGGAGATAGCATATTCTTTTCAAAAAAATTTCTAAGTAATCACCATATGCAATTAACACATTTTTAAGGAAATTGGAATTTTATGGAATGACATAAACACCATCCATGTGGATAATACTCTAATCTGTATTAAAGACTATGTAAAATTTGAAAAATCACTTACTATCCAAAGATAATGTAAAATTTACAAAAGCACTTATGTGTTCACACATTAGTGTTCATTGAAAGTACAGTGAATAAAATGAAACATATACTCATATAAAATACCCCTATTCCTCAAAAAGAACAAACATACTTAAGTTTATATTGCCTGTATAGTTCCACTTCACTATTTCTTGCTGTCAATTTATACTGGTTAACCAATACCTCTTTTAAAAAGTAACTATCCCAAGGAAGTTTAAGATAAATGTTCTCCTTAGTGTGATTTAGTTTGGTTGTTTTAAATATTTAGCTGAATTTATTGTTCCTAATGTGAACAGCTGATACTCTTAGGGTAAGAGGAAGGGTTGAGCATGGACAGAGAGGGTTGCAGTTTGTAGCTCTTCACGAAAGTCCAGTCCTGGCTGTGGTATGAGATTGCCATGTAACCAGACAACAGCTGGAGGACACTTCCTCAGTGTTGTTACTCTACAACTATTCATTCTACTAATTAGTTACCAAACAAATACTTGCTTTTCTAAGAGGGAGTGATAAAAAATAATAAGATAAAATAAATCTAAAAGACAAACTATTTTATCGAGAACTGATTTCTCATCACTTTCTCTGTTCATGAAATACCCACAAAAATGTAAAACATTTCTCTCTCAAGAAAGTGACTCTGAGAGATTCTGGGCGTGAAAGCAGGCAAGAGGTTTCTGCACAGTCAGAGACTGAGTCCAAACAGCCTCAGCCATTCAGTCTTAGGCCAGGTGTGGAAAGTCTGTTTTGCAAGCTTCAGCTGGTGTAAGCTGATGCTGGGGAGCATAAGGGAGGCTAGTGAAGCTGATGAGATGCAGAGCAAAGCTGGTGGAGTCCAATCACATTGAGGTTAATAAGGAAATTCCAGCCAGAACATGGTAAGGAAGAACTGAAACAGTGCCCAAATTCTAGCAATGAGTTTTGTGGGAATGAGTTTGAAAGCAAACTCTAGCTAGTTGCCTGGAGTATCTTCCAGGACTGCCAAGTGGTTGCTCTTGCCTTAGATGGACGCCTTATTTTTTCCACATGGAATATATAGAGTGAAGAATAACTCATGGCTCTTTTACCCACCAGGAGTGTACAGTTTACTAGTTCTAAACCAGAGACTTGCTGGCTTTAGCAGGGGAAATTGTGGTAATGTTGGAGAGCACTTCGTGTCCAGTGTGTTGCTATGTGGCATACATCTGTAGTCTCAGAGTTACTCATGAGGCTGAGGCTGGAGGATGACTTGAACCCAGGAGTTTGAGCCCAGCCTGGGCAACATAGTGAGACCCACATCTCTAACAATAACCAACAACAAAGTTGGACTGGAGTTTCCACTAGAAAAAAAGACAACAACACTCCCTTTTCACTGAGAAAGTCTCCATTTTTTCCTTATTTCCAGTTCTCTCATTGTTCATATCATAACCTCTTCCTAAATTCCTTCACAAGACTTTTCTTAAAAGGATTTTTTTAAAGTGTATGACATCAGGCTGCTTCTGATATTGCAAGCAAGGTCTCTAGTCCTCAAGTTAACTGGGATGTAAAGCTTTAATCATCTATTACAGTGATTTGAAATTTTAGTGGTTATAAAATTCACCTGGATGTTAAAACACAGATCATTGGACCCTATGCCCAGAATCCGATTTAGTAACTTTAAAATTGGGCCTGAGAGTTTGCTTATCTAACAAGTGTTTAAGTGATGCTGATGTTGCTGAATGAGGAACAATTTGAGAATTGATTGAAAAGACCCTTTTATGGTATATAAGGATATGTCTGCTTCTTTATAGCTGTATGTACACACAAATGTCTGGCTGCATGTAATATATAGCTAGACACATACAGTCAAAATGCCATGAATTACAGAATTTTACACAATTCATTCAGCAAAGTAGAAAACTGGGAGACTAGATAGGTCACTTAAGAAACTTAAACAATGTATATTTTCAGTTTTTTTATTCTCCAGTCAAGCGTGTTCATTGAACATCCAGTTAACACAGACTGAGTGAGAATATATAGAAAATCATTGAAATATAGGGTGATTGAACTCAAAGAGCAAAAGTGTAAATCAACAGTGGCTAACCAATGATCGTATATTACTGATTCTTATCTGGTAGGAACCATCAGGAACATCAGGGAAGCTTTTACAAAGCATACATACTC